GAAAGAAAATACTAGGCCATTTGTACAGCTTGGCCTAGAAGTTTTCTCGTGTGGCCCTGACCAGACGCTAGAGAGAGAGGGGAGGAGGGAGACAGTGGGAGAGAAGGAGAGAAACAGAGGGAAAGGGGAAAGACAAAGGGAAAGAGAGAGAGGGAGGGAGGGAGGGAGAGAGAGAGAGAGAGAGAGAGAGAGAGAGAGAGAGAGAGAGAGAGAGAGAGAGAGAGAGAGAATGGGAAAGAGAAAATGAGTGAGAGAGAGAGAGAGAGAGAGAGAGAGTATGGGAAAGAGAAAAGGAGTGAGAGAGAGAGAGAGAGAGAGACTAATACAACAAGAATAAGCGAAGAAGTGAGAACCATGATAACAATGAAGAATCTATGAACATAATATGGTGAAGATGTATGTAAGCCTATATGAAATTCATTAATAAAAACGGAGGTCAGAAATGTGGAAAATGTTTACCGTAAACATAGAAAATAAATTATATAAAGCAGTGTTGGTGTATTCACATTAAAAGAAAATCGAAGAGTTGAATGTAAATAATAAATTATCAGGACTATTATTAGCACACAGAAGTCTGTACTGTACTTATAATCAAGGACAAAAACTGCGGAACTACAAAACTAAAATAAATGGAAAATAAGAAAAGAAGAAGAAGAAGAGGATTAAGACAGTGCTAATTAGAGTTCAAAAATGTTTATATATGAACAAGGAAGCTGAACAATGGAAGAAATATTGACACTGAAAATGAAAATGAACATGAAGCACTTGTACGGTGTTTTTTTCCCCTAGAAGATAAAGTGAAAGAAAACATCTTTTTAAAATAATTTACTGGAAGAATTTGAGGTAAGCGATAAAAAAAATGAAATAAAAAGTCCTTTAAAAATGAAACAATGAGAAATATGAGAACGAAGATCAAAGGATCTACAGCAAATCCCGAAAAGGCGAGAGTGATGACAAATAACAGTACAGGAGAAGACAAATGAAAAAGGAACAAATACAAAACCGGCAAACTTTTTTTTAGAAATGGTAAAACGGAAAAAATAAAAGCCTATGAAGAGCTCAGTCACGGATAATACACAAGATGATGAGACTGACAGGCGAGTTGTCATAGAAAAAAAAAAAAAAAAAAAAAAAAAAAAAAAAATATATATATATATATATATATATATATATATATATATACACACACATACATACATAAATATATATATACATATATATATATATATATATATATATATATATATATATATATATATATATATATACACACACACACATATATACATAAATATATATATATATATATATATATATATATATATATATATATATATATATATATATATATATATATATACACACACATATATACATAAATATATATATATATATATATATATATATATATATATATATATATATATACATATATATGTATATATATATGTATATATATATATATATATATATATATATATATATATATATATATATATATATATATATGTATGTATACATATATATATATATATATATATATATATATATATATATATATATATATATATATATATATATATATATATATACATAGAGAGAGAGAGAGGGGGGGGGGAGAAAAGTGCAAAGAGAGTAGAAATAGACAAAAAAGCGAGTAGAGAATTTATATGTAACGTACAAGAAAAAAAAAATGATTATGAAAATAAAGATGTAAATGGTATGAATTTTTTCTTCTTGCAACTTGCTGACTCGGTTAAAGTTGAGAGCGACTGCAGAGAAAGCAAATACTTGAAGGTAATGTTGAGACTCAAGCATGGAAAAATAAAACACAAAAAATGGCAATTAACAGCAAAACACGAAGAAACGAATTTAAGAATCTTACATGAATAATGATAGCCCCGACCTAACCATCTATGAAATTTGATACACATACGAAATAAATACAATAAACAGACAAATAAAATAAACAAAGACAAAATAAATCCAACAAAACTAATTAAAAGAATAAACAAACAAAATAAGTAAAAAATACAAAAACCGGAAAAAAAAACGTAGACATAATAGTAAACACTATAAAATACCAAATGA